TTTACAAAGATTGCCCCATGCCACTATACAAGGACTTTAAATTGTTAACATAAAAATGTAGGTCGCGAATATTTTGTAGTGTTGACAGGTATGTAAATGTAGCTATCACAATTACTGTCCTTATTATATATATATATATATATATAAATCTATCTATATGTGTGTATATAGGAGAGAGAGAGGAAGAAGGAGGAGGAGGGAGAAGTGGAGGAGGAAGGAGGAAGGAAAGAAGGAAGGAGGGAGGCAGGCAGGCAGGCAGGGAGGGAGGCAGGCAGGCAGCACGATAAAGTTTCTCTTTCCACAAAAGGCGTTTGTGGAAACCCCACAAGAGGGGTTCCGGGGGGGGAAAGCCCACAGCACACCTCCGCAGTGATCAGCCCCAAAGGGTCAGAGATTCAGGGTCACCACTGAACCAATGGCTTTCCTCATTTGGGCCCCCAACTTAGGACCTCTCCCTCCCACCCAACTTGGGAGCAAAGAGGAAAGCAAATCTGCCCCCCACTTACATAGGACACCCTTCTCCTAGTCAGCCGGCCTCCAGCTTTTCCACACCCCAACAACCTCTCATCAGCATGGGCCTTCCTTTTTTGCCACCATCCAGCTTTCCCACTCTTCTGCCAAATGCAAGTGGTCGTGGTGGAGGCGGTGGCAGGGGCCTACCGACTCTCTTGCTTGTTGGGAAGTGGTTCTGGTTCTCCTATGTGGGTGATCTTGATCTACACAGACGTTATTAGTTTGGGGAACGGATAAAAGCACTGAGATTAATGCCTATGGCCAGTGTCAATGACGAACTAGCTGTCTCCGTCTGTCTGTCTGTCTGTCTCTCTCTCTCTTCCTTTTATGTATGTATGTGATATAGGTAGGTAGACCGACCTATACACTGACTGACCAGCCAACTGTCTACCTACCTACTTATTTTTTCATCACACATTCTTAAAATTGAGATAGAAGTCACATCTCATAAAATCCAGCCTTTAAAAAGTGCACAAGCCAGTGGGCTTTGGGAGTCTATTCACACAGTGGCACACCCTTCACCATTATGTATTTCCAGAACATTTCCATCACCTCAAAATTAAGAACGGCACCACTTCAGTATCTGTCCCCAACCCACCCCACCCCCCAGGGAAAGACCAATCAAATTAACAGCATGGTGCTTTTTCCAACAGGTAGGCCCCAGTCAACCCTTTAGAATGTTTCAAAGTCCCGTTCCATTCTCTGATGCAGCACTTTCGGCCGTCAAGGAAGCAGACGGTGTGGGTGGAGGTGAAGGTGGACTGGGGGGCGTGTGTGGCATGTCCGTCCTTCCGTCACTGCAGAAATTATTTCGAAAGGAGGGAGGGACGGTTGGTGTAGGTAGACCGTACTGGGTGACGGTGGTTTGGGAGCTTTCCCTAGAATGAGGAGAGAGCAGTCTTCCCTGTGAAGTCAGGGAGCCGGAATAGGTCGCCCCCACATCGACCCGCTCTGGCACATGGGTTCTTTGGAATTCGAGGCCCTGGCCTTGAGAAACAGCGGGCACGAGAAGGGCACGGGACCTCTCCCTTTTCGTCCTGACCTGAAATCGGGAGATGAAGCTCCCACGGGAAAGGTGCCCTCCCTGACCCAGGAGGAAAGAAGACAGGCTTGTCAGCCCAGACCAGACGCTAGCCCGGAGGGCTCTGTTTCAAACAAAACCTTGACTCCTCCCATCTCTTGATTGACCTTCCCACAGGTGGCTGGCCTTGGAAGCCTAGAGCCGCTTTCCTTTCTCCTGTCATTTCGCTACAACTGGATTGTCCGTGGTGTGACATGCTCTAGGAGCTGGAATTCAGTCAGAGCCGCCACTTTGAGTGACTTCCGCTTTAGGCTTCTCCCCGAGTGACGTGCCCTTGCACGCGTTCCTAATCTCTCTGTCGTTCTCTTCTGGATCTGTCTTTTTGTTACCGGGCCGGGGTGGGCTCAGCCAAGGACTCAGAAGGGGGATAGCGGCGGGAACATCATTTCTCCTCCCCTATGCCTG